TCGCGGGACTCGAACACAGCACCTATTGGTCTCGATTCTATTCATTGGATTAATTGTATGTATTTGTATAGAAATAGCCTTCATTTAAATTAGTAGCAACAACAATAAATGAATAATTACTGCTATTGAATGAAACCATTATCGTCAACAGACTCGTTATTACATTTCACATTAGGACTTATACTTGGACAATGAAGTTTTGATTGTTTCACAACCTGTATGAACAGTCCTTTGACCGATATTCCCATAATACCTTAAGTTCATGGTTGTTGATTTGAAATGTTTTGTCTTATTGTTTCTTCTCGTATATTGATCATATTATATGACTTATTAAGGCCTTCAACTTTAATTTAAATAAATAATCTTATATGTCGATAACTGAAATCAGTGATCATTCGAGTATATCTGTTTTGCTTAACATGACAGTTGTCATAAAATAAAAGATTTATCAGATATCTAATGGGTATTATTTTAGCATATAATCTACTATGTAACTCATATACTTCTTTTTACAATGTTCAATGAATTAATCATGAAGCTTATAAGTAGGATTTTTTTACATTTTGATAATTAACGGTTAAACACTTTGTTAAACTTTGTGCTTTTATGTTATTTGAGAACAACAACAACAATTTAAACTCAATTACATCACAATGGATACTCTATCAGCAGTTACCCCACTAGTTTTATAAGTGTTTAGTTATTCTACAACTACAAATTTTTGATTTTTCAGCAATACTGGTAATATTCAATCAAATCTTAATTAAAAATAATCCCAATCGTTTTGATTGCATAAATTGACTAGTTTTAGATCATGAGAAATTCTACTAAAAGCCATCTTACAGATTTTTTATCAATATATTTGTTAAGATCTAGGTTTTGATTCAGGTTACTTGTGGCGACCAAGACAGCATCACTAAATGATATTGGTTTAAATCTCTCAGGAGTTATCGGTTCAGTTAAGATAGCAGAGAACCATTGTTGAAAAACTTCAAACAGTATAGAATAAGGACCCGAAAATCTTCATAGATCGGTTGCAAACATCTACCATCAAAAAAGTACACTAATGAGTAAAATTGTTGACTTCTGTGGTGATTCATACGATCGAATCTGATTAGTGTTAAGTATTAGACAGAGTTTAGTTACCACACATGTGATAATGTAGTTTATTAATCGGTTTACAGACAATGTTATAGAGTTAAACTATTATAAGCATTTATTGCAATTACGAAACTAAGATATTCAATTTATAGTCGATTTCGATGTTCATTATAATGCTTATAATGAAACTCACAATATTTGGCAAGCTTATACTAAGAAAAAGATACTTTTTGTGCATCATCTAATTAATATGCATCTTTGATATTGATTGTTTTTCTGAAAATATTATTCATTATCATTTTCTTTGTGATTTTTTGTATAATTTCCTAATTAACATAGCTATCTAATGATATATATAAGGTTTCGTTGTTCTGATAAGGCTTTTGTCAACTTAATTTTATGCTTTACTTGGTGTGCTGTGCAAACCTGTTCATTAATTAGTTAGGCCATAGTGGCCTTCTTGAATATCTGGGCTACCTGTTCCCGCCATCTGGATGTTTTAACATGTTATCTGTTTTCTTGTTTGTTTTAACACATCATTATGCCTATTAGTCGCATAATCTATTCAGGTGCGTTTGTGAAAAGTTTATGATATTTCGATGTACAAGTTACAAAAGAGCCCAATCAGAAACATCGTGGTTTCTGGCAATATGCATCGAAAAGAATATACATTAATCAGATGTTGATTCCTGAACTCCTAACATCCACTCAATATTTATCGCAAGGATCAATCAAGAAATAAGAAAAGGAAACTTGTTAAAGTACTTTGTGTTGAGAATTCTATATTGTACTAAAAATACAATATTGAATAAAGCCACTAATAATGGTAATTTAGTCGACAGGAGGAAAATCCACCAAGTAACAAATAAAATTAGTTAAGAAGCTTTTGTGATTATTCTCATTGCGTAGAGCATTATTGATCGACGTAGATGCGTGTGTAAACACTGAATTCCATAATTATGATTAATTTTAAAGTATACAGTCGAAATTGATTTATGTTTGAACAAAGATACCTAAATAAACTTGTATCATAGCCCGTAGTTGTCACCTACGTGCTCAATTTCGCTTCACACATCAGTATTTATATCATGAAATGGCTATCGAGTTATTACTAGAATGTAGTTTGATATAGTTAACTTACTGCAATCATCTAATATACTTAATTCATCACAAAGTAAACATCTATGAAAAGCATTTTATGTACACAGTGATTGAAAAATGCATTTACCATGGCCGATATATATATTTAGATGTTCTAAATCACCAGTTTCTGTTACTTATGAATGTTATAATGTTCAGATAAGTAGTTTATCATTCACATAGCCTAGATTTTACATATTTTTAAAACAAGACAGAAAGTCTCAATATTGTTTCGGTTGTCAAACAGCGTATATGTGAATCAGTTAAATACAAAAGTCATTTACTCAGTATGAAATTTGTAATTTCACTGACTGGTAAAACTGTTCAATAATATCATCAGTTCCCTTTAGTTTTTTACAAATCTAAATGCTCACGACCTTTTCATTCTCTGTTTATGACCTATTTTACTCCCCAGTGTAATAATGGTCAATAGTGTCATATTTCTTTGTTCCTGTTTTTGTCAAAATCTGAACTAGACCCTACGTTACTTTAAAACATTTTCAGAAATTGTTATAATAATGATAAAGATTGTTTGTACTACATTTAGTCAGTTTAACGTTTTCTCACTAGGAAATTATTCTGATGTGTTCACCCTAAAAATATGTATGATGACTCTGTAGTATCTCGTGAAATATAACAGTCATAATATATTTTAGGTACACTTATTAAGTCTATATTTATGAGTTTCAGTTGGACAAAATACACCAGTGTCATAGTTCTCATGTGTCAGTAGGTTACTGCGATGACGTTTAATCAACAAGCTCACTCAGATTCATAGATGAATTATGGGATTCAAGTTGATCACGTATTCCTTTTATTTTTGATATGGTTTAGGCTACTTAAATTTTGCTAGTAGTACAATTATCTCCTTAACATTATTTAATTTCTAAAACTACACGAAATTTAATTTAGTCCTAAGCTGTGAAAAAGCACGACAAATTATATAGGGGACTCTTGGTAGCCAAGTTTGAATATAATTTATTTGCTACACAATTTAAGTCCACCTACAGAAACTTAGTTTTCACACATTCTTCATATCATGCATCGTGATTTAAGTTTTAAAATCAGTCAGACAACAATCGAAAACGAGAAAGGTGTAGACACCTGTTTCGTTTTTCTATGAAGCTCCTTATTATCGTGCATCCACAACCTCACTAAGAAACATAAAATCTTTTTTCTTTCGTAGTCAGAGCTTAACGTTTTGACCACTGAGCCAACTAGTGTTCTTGTTACATATAATGTATAGGGAATATTTGTGGGAATAAATATGCTAAGTGAAACGACCATGAGCTAAAAGATCCTACAAAATATTTCACCTAAAATTTCATCAAACATACCGATAGGTGTAAGGATCTGATTCATGTTTGTGATTACTACGTTCAAAGTTCACTATTCTAAATATGATGACTGTTATCGATAGTTAGTTAGAATTGGTTTTAAATAAGAAAGAAAGATTAGTTCAGCGAAGAGTTCTCTTTTCGGCGAATTCATTTTCAAAGCTGTACAATCGCAAATATATATACTTATTTTTACAGGGTGATAATAATACTGATAATAAACTTATGTTATACATGGTGACAGTGAGGTTAAATAAACAAAGGTATAGAAAAATGTTTTAAAACAAGGAAAGTTTGATAGTTAATGGCTTAGATATTCATCGTGTAAGGGTAGCTCAGCATGATAAAATAACATAAAATGTTGAAACAGAGATGAAATATAATCGGAATGATCGTGGAAATAAAAACAAACCGGTTGGGGGTATAAGATTTGCCTAAATGATCAGGAATTTAATTATTAAAGTGTCGTCTTACCAAATCTTGTAAAGTCAGATTTTCCAGAATCCTCGAACGTTATGCTAAAAACTGGTGATTTTCTTTTGAACAGGTATTGAAGTGTTTGAGCTATTTAGTATATATTCATAAATAAGGTAAATTATGGTTTAAATATCGACTTATTTAGGTTAGAATATATTTTTATAGTGTTTTCTATTTTATTTGTAATATTTTGATTGAGATAAGTAAATCAGGAAACCAGTACACGATGAGATTTGAGAGTAATCAAGTTCATGTTTTGAATTAGTTAGAAACTGTTGTGATAATACATAATCCCATTAATTTTCTACTACTCAATATCTTTCTGTTTTAAAGTCAATTATCTTCTTAAGTGAACTCTTTTATAATATCCAGTTGAATTTACGTTTGTTGTCCGAATTGAGCCAACATTTAGAAAAAGACTATAATCAAGGTGGATTTATGATATTGTAGTCCATCATCTTCTGATATAGTGTCAAACTTCATCCAAACCTTCATGTAATTTTATATGTAAAACGTTTTAAGTAGGCATTTATTAATAACTTCATATCCATCTTCAGTTATAATCTTCTATAGTAAACTGGGTTCGTCTAACTCTGTCTACGAGTTCAAGTTGTTATTTGATAAACATATCTTAGAAAAATTATACTACACTTGTAAAATATTTAAATTTCATAATGTCTAATTTACTGTAGCTTTGACCTTGAATTAAATGTTTGCATAAGTCTCAACTTATCTACTTTTATATACCACAATCTCCTAGTCATATTTTAAACAATAAAGTTTGGAAATGGAAATCTGTTATAACTTGTGACCGCTGATTAAAGAGCAGTGACTTATCGATCGGATCAAAGACGCATAAACCCGTATGAATAGCCTAGAGTTCTGATTGGCCTTCCTTTCCGCCTAGCCCAGCCAGTTAAGTCCAGAACGCCAATCCGAGCCGCTGAGGTATGAATCATTATATTTCAGACATACTGAGTTTATATATCAATCAAACAAACCACAACGTACCAATAAAATAGAGAACAACATTTGTACAAGAATTAGCCAAATGTGGCTGTGAATGAGGGAGGTAGTAATTAATATACTGAGTATAACTCAAGAATGGTAAAACATATAATAATAGTTTATGGATCAAAATAAAGCTTATAATAAGAGGAATATGAATATGCATAGTATAGTTACTTAATAATTAAGCAATAGAAATATACGTTTAGTATCGGTCCATCAATAGATCCCAAAAGTTACCATCCATTATTCTTGTCAGAACATAACAAAATCTAATTTAGTAGTTGACAAGTACATTAATAAGTAATAAGCAATACATTAGACAACTATGATTTCGACATATTATGCAAATTTGATTTTTTTATCTACTTCGTAAAAGTAAATGGAATTGTATGCAACGGAATCCATTGATAACATAGAACAGAGCAAGTATAAAATGGTTTGTTGAATAAAAATACAAATTCTCATCAGCTGCAAATAACCTAAAATTACAATTATTAATATAATTAATAACAAATGTCTTAACATATTTCGATTTCTGAAGTTTAGATACGTATCTTAAGGCATGGATTGGCAAAGGTTGGGCATCATTCGTACAATAGAAGAACATACAGAACTCAAAACAACAATCAACCAATATTAAACTCAGAATCTTCAATACGAACGTCGAAACAGTGAGGTATATTGTACGGAGCTAAAACTTAGAGAACTACAACTGTCATTGAAATAGTACAAATATTTATAAACAATTGTTTTCGAAAGATACCTAATGTTTGTTGACCGGATACCATCAGCAACATCCTACTGTAGAAGAGAACAAATCAATTCCCAGGTGAAGAGGGAATTCGGGAAAGAATTTCAAGGAAGATAAGATGCATTATGCAGAAATCCTCCAACTGCATTACGAGCCAAGCCCTAACTTGAAAGGGAGAACTTAAAGAGGAAAACCAAGAAACAAATTGTATCTGCTATTGGAGGCAGAGATCAAAGGAATAAATAGCATTTGGAAACAACTGAGAAATATTTCCCAAAAGAGTTAGGTGAAGGATCTTGGTCGTCCGTCTATGTTCCAAGAGGAGTAGCAGTCGTAAGTAACTTGAAACATAATCACAATCACAATAATAAGAATAGGATACAAATTGTATGGGTAAGTATATTGAATCTGCGATGTTTGTATCAAGTGATAAACATGTTGTATATAATTACACGTTTTATCTGTATATATTTAAAGGAAATACATGTACACAAGTTTACGGTTTTTTCTAGCCTTTACAACCTATGTCACTAGTAGTTTGAAGATTATGATTGAACAAATACGAGATTCCTGTTTCATTATATCTGTACAATACTGCTAATCATCCTATAATCAGACTCATCCTTTATGTTATGAAAATGTTTCACTCATATATTACTTCTAGTAAAATCATTTTATTAAGAAAATACATTTACAAAATTCTGAGGTGATGATACTTTTCACTCACTCACTCACTCACTCACTCACTCACTCACTCACTCACTCACTCACTCACTCACTCACTCACTCACTCACTCACTCACTCACTCACTCACTCACTCACTCACTCACTCACTCACTCACTCACTCACTCACTCACTCACTCACTCACTCACTCACTCACTCACTCACTCACTCACTCACTCACTCACTCACTCACTCACTCACTCACTCACTCACTCACTCACTCACTCACTCACTCACTCACTCACTCACTCACTCACTCACTCATTCACTCACTCACTCACTCACTCTCTCTTTCTTGAGAGAATAGAAATAAAAACTCACTTCTTCAACTATGAATCAAATCTGATTTATCTTAAGGTGTAAAATACAATAAACATTTAATGTTTTATTAATAAAAACACAATTTGTTTTTCTATAGCAAAAATTGTGAAATAACATGAATATGTTTGTTTTCTTTTAAACCATAAATAAGACTTTATATATTGGTATCATGACAACAGTTGTATCCATTTCAATGACTGGTTGAATAATATAAAGATAACATTGATCAAAATTATGTTTTTGTTATCTGTTAAATAAATCAAAATGAAAATGAAATAATCATAATCATAATAATATTGTTTAAATGAATTTCAATCAAATGCATTGTATTGGATTGAAATTTTGTAAATAGAATAAATTCACATCTGCATTAATGAATATGTTCCATGTTTTCATTATTACAATTGGAAAGAACAATAAAAATAGTGTGGTGTGTGCTACTTAAGTCGACATAAGTAGTATATGATGTTAGTCGTGAACAGAAGGTCTGGCAGCAGAAAGACAAGAGGATCAAACAGTAAAGAATGGAAACAGAATGCAATTTGTATGAAACTGCAAGAACAATGAAGTTTGATTCATTTTGAGACAATTAGTGGACATTTTGCAAATTAAGCATATACTTTATGATTATTAGATTTTATTAACAAGTCCTGTAATTTTGTGCACAAATACATTCGGTTGTCCCCACCCGTGTTCTGTTCACTACAATACCATGTAAAATCTGCTTGAAGACTTATACATATCAAGAAACAGAAATCACTGATTATTTCATACAATTACTTCCCTTTATGAATTTAAATAAAGCTAGAACAAACATTGATGCATACACCACCAATCCTTAATGTTTCCTTGATTCCAACATCAAAATAACCTCTGACCTGTTCTTGCATATATATATATATATATATATATATATATATATTAATTGTTCCATACAATTTCTTACCTGAATGTAAAAATTCTATCACATATTTGCTTGTAAGCGGCTGATGAGAAACGATGAAATATAATGAATTCATACTATTCTACATCAATATTTGTTCTAACTTTATTTAAATAACTAGACACGATATATAACTAATAAAAGGAATGAGTACATTGTACTGTTTGTAATAATGAGTGCATATTATTTATCAATAATTACAGTGTTATCAAAGATTGATTTATTATAAAGAAATACCTGTAATTCATTATGAAATTTATATTGTAAGATACATTTCCTTGACAAGAAGTTTTAGAAATAGTTGATAGGAAAGTACATTTTTACGGTCTTAAACGATTCGAATAACTATTTAGTTTAAATTCATTTGGTATTGTTTACTTGAATCTTTCCATTGATGTTTAGCACTACAATTGATCAGTATCTTGGTTTAATTTTAACTTTAAACAACAAATATTATCCATGTTCTGTGACAAATGTACACGCATCATTTTTTGTAGAAATACTCCCTATAAGCTGAAATCTATTTTTTTTAAACTGTGGTATAGTGAGATCACAGTCTCGTGGTTTGGCTAATTATGTGTATTTATAGATTTAACTATTTATTTACAACTCTATAGCTAACAATGTAAGTTGATTGGGAAAAAAACTTCGATTGTTTAACTGGTAAACCTACTTTCTGAGAGTTTAATAAATTTGCTAATTTTATCGCTTCTGGACGTGGTGGAACAGACATCACAAAAGGTATTACATTATCGAACGATCCAAAAGTAAGCGTTCTATCCATTTCGGATGCCTGTAGCAAATCTTTAAAGGGAAACAGTAGCTAATTTTAATATATATTAATGTAAAAATGACCATATAGAAAAAAAATTAGATGTGCTATTTTAAAATTAAAGGAAAACTATGCTGAACATCTTAACGAAACATTATTGTAAAAGCAATTCTCTTCATGAACTAAAATTGACTGGGGAACCAACCGTTTCGACCCACTTATGGGTAAATGAGGCTATTTTCAGATAAGTTCAACACTACGGAAAGTTACGGGCATAAATGTTCTCTTTAAAAGATTCCTCGATGTACAGTAATGTTTTTTATACGATTACGTTTTGAAATATTCCAACTTAATATCGTATAATAACGAATGAAAAGTCGAGCAAAATATTGAAGTTAATGATATCAGGTAGACTTTTCTTAAGTTTCAACTCTTAGGTATAGTTTACATATAGTTATGATAGTTCCAAATATATTCAAGATTACTTGCCTATTTGCATGACAGTTTGTTTATAATATTACTTACCACCTTCATTTTCTTCAATCACTTCATTCTTTGAATTCCTAATTCAATGAAAATATAAATGTTGAATGAATTTGTAACATACTTCGTATTAACTTTGATTACATTCAACTGTTGATTTATAATACCATCTGATTGTAAATTGATAAGAAAAATATTCATAACAGAATATTTACCTTCTTCATCTGATAATAGAACTTGTGTTTCACACAACGGTACAACAGATTCATTTAATTCACTTACAGCGGGGTTAACTGATTCTTCTAAACTTATTTCTGAAACAGTTGAAAGTCGAGCTTCTTTGAAAAAAAAGATAATTGGAGTAAAAACGTGTTTACCCGAGAAATTGGAATCCAACACTGTTCTATCACTTAAAAATAAAGTTAGAGAGTACAACAAAACAAAATAAATTAACAGCAATCATTAAAACTAAGAAAAATTTCTATTTTTAAAATGCTGAGAAGTATTATGTAACCACATGAGAAATGTATCAGTATTTATGTTTAATGAACTATAAATGTATTCATAACTGTCATCTGATCTCATCTATTTCTTTCCTTCTTATATAAATTGCCTCGAATGTCAATCAACCTTTCGTAAGTAAAACCAAGGAATATTACTTTACATCATTGGGGCGCTTTCTTTATGATATAAATCTAAAAGTAAATAACTTAGTTCTTTAATTAGACTAAATTTGTTTTCACTTGCAGATTTATATTTCCATACATGCATGTATGAAGCACTGATCTGCTTATTTGATTTCACTTATCACAAATTCTCGTTATATAAACACATCATAACTTATCAGATGTCAATCCTTGAAAGTGAACAGTAAAATTTAAATTTAATTATAGAAGGAAATTAAGTCATTTAGTGATAAAAACAAATGACCCGATGAATCTAACTTGAATCATTTTACTATTGTTTATACACAGTAGAATTGTGATTGCCATCGTGAAGTTTCACTCTTAGATCCTTCATCTATTTATTTTATGTATATCAGTCAAGTGTGAGGAGAAATCATTTACTGATGTAGTAATCATATCGGAATTAAACAGGTTAATTTTTATTCTCAAACTGTCAATATTATGCAAAACGATTTAATTTACTTGTGATGTTTATCATGTTAAGGTATATATTGTAATATGTTGTAACTAAAGATGTTTTCTCAGAAACGTACTTTATTTGCTGAACCATTGTAATGATTACAATTTAAATGTATTTGCATTTTCACTGGTTGAAATCATGAGTCAATTGAAGCTAGACCACCATGGAAAACCTGGAAGCAATGAACGGCCGTTTCGTCCTGGTATGGGACTCCTCAACAGTGCGCATCCACGATCCCGCACTCCGCGAGATTCGAACCGAGGACAGGTTTTCCATGGTGTTCTAGCTTCAATTGACTCATGATTTCAACCAGTGAAATTTCTAAAAATCTCCACAAAACCCATTCTGATAGTATTTGAATTTGTTTATAGTTAAAAGGAGGATATAAAATTTCAATGAGTACACAATATAAATTATAAATAATGAACAAACTTCGTTTAGAATGAAAAATCTATATTTAACTAAACTTAAGTGGATACAAATATCCTATTAAACAGTGCTATTTTATTCCATTTCACTATAAGTATCTATGGGTATATGAAATAAAACTAACGAACATTTGAAATGGATCTATACAGATTTTAAAGGAATAAAAGGTTGAATTACCATATTGAGTTTTCAGTTTTGCTTATTTTTGACTGCGAACATTCTAAATCATCGGTTTGTATTTGTGAATCTTTCTTTTCTTCAAATTCTCTCTATTAAATGGTCAGCATCAAATATGAAATTCAATAAAATGTTTACATTTATTATCAAGTATATTGACGTTAACAAATATTGCTTACCAATATAACAACTAAATCGCTGAGTAAAATTAAAAAAAAAGAGACTTTTACTGATATTCGTTGAGAAGATCCAGAAAACTCTTCGAAAAAAGCCAAGAAAGGCTCTGAAAATATCGATAAGCATCTTATCCAATCAGCGTTCATTAGAAGTTTTGCCAGAAACATCTAGAAGTTGGAAAGTAACATTTCGAGTTTCTGATTGGATGATTACTACACTGCTACTATGTTTAGTAGCATTCTAGAATTTTCGGAAAAACCCAAAAACATCTAAAATACTATAAAAACCCAATATTTCCTGTACATAAATGAACCTTTGGAGTAAAGTGTTTCTTACGTAATTTGAGCCTTTTCTCTCGTGTTCAAGTCGCTGTGTAGTTCTAGCTTGGGGGTTACTAGAAGAGCTTAGGAATTGAATATAGCGTTCAATTAGCAAGACTTATCAGTATTTTTAAAGAGCTGTTATCTATTTGAATAAAACAGTAAACAATTAAACTGTTGATAAGAATCAAATCAAAATCTTAGGATTTAATGTTTATTCATCATCAATAGTGAAATATAAAGGTCGTGTAAAGAAAATCACTAAAGCATCTAATATATTACCTTTTCAAATTAATTTTTACACCGTTATAATAAAATACTTGTCTTTCATCACCCTATGAAGAAGGATTTAAGGATGAATAAAACTGCATATTCAGTAAAACGATGACTAAGAATGTTTATAAGCTAACATCATTTGAATGAACATGAAAATGAAATTCCTTTCCTACCATGTACAGGGTATATATATATGTTTGGTTTCATTGTTTACTTTAAAGAAGGTAAGAAATTGGCAAAAGGAGCAGAAAAATCCATTTAAATTCAAGACATCTTATCAACTGTAATAAGCTTGGGTTGGAAAACAAATAGCTGAATACAATAGAAAAGATTAGTGTAATTAAGTTAATACAGCTGAGATACGGAAATTGTCATTATACACTGTAGTTAATAATAATAGATAAGTATATGGTAAATATTTATTGAAAAATAGTTCTACTTGATCTTTTAAGAAGATCGGAGGTCACAGACAAGGCACAACTGTTTTTTGAAATCTCAATGAAGAGAATATTAAACAACATAGGTAAGAAGCAGAAATGAGGAGATGATAAATACTGATTACTTCCTAACATCATAAGATGGCTTTAGAGCACGTAATCGAACACAATCAGTTCATTTTCAAAATGTTCACCAAGAACATTCAATGAATACATGAACTACATTTGTACAAGTTACTTCTAATATTGCATAAGTTGTAAATCAAACGTATCAGTAATATCCACATTGAAAGTAATGGCTCTTATTCAAAGAGGTACGTTGGTTACAATGACGAATCCTCAGAATAAATTATCTGAAACACTGGTGTAACTTGAATTTTAAAATATTTTCCATTCGCCACTAGGGCCAAAAGTCTTGGATTGAGCTCTTCGTGTAACTATAGATGCGGAATGTTGAAGATTTCCGTGTTGGGATAAAAAGCCTGTACAATGTTATTTTATTTTCTGTATTTCTTTAACCAAAGTCAATCGGTGATACAAAACTACAAAACATCCGATAAAATGTATTCAAACGACTTTCGCCTGACGTTCGCTTTCAGTCGTAAGGGTTTTTGTTAGTTACCGCTACGTGCAACACATTCAATTAATGAATTTCAGTGTATTCTTCATTTTTTTCCTCAAAAGATAAACATAAACTATTATGTTTCAAAAATTATAGGGTTTCCGACTATATCATTCAATATTTAGCATCACAAAAGCTTTCTAACGTTTTTAAAAGTGTAGGTACATAAAATTATTTAAATCAACCATTAATATGTTAAAATATGCATAATATAAGAAAATATACTGTAATAGTAGCACAATTATAAAATAGGTTGTCTAAAATGCTTAGCAGGTCGCCGTCACCATACAAATTTAGTCCTACTTTTTTTCACAGACAGGCCTTTATACAGTTGCACAAAAACAGTGCATTTAGGGTAAAAGGGTTTTATAAATTCTATGCAGCCTATAATAATAAAGCTGACAAATAAAATTAGAGATGTGAAATATCAAGAAAGCTCGGTTAAGATTAACTTACAACAAACGCATTACTTAAATGTATTGAAATCTAGTGGTTTTGGTAAGATCTACTGGGATATTATGTTGAATACTTGAATGTGGTTAGCATAAATTATGTGGGAATAAACACCATACTCGGTAGGATTTTTCAATATGACATATCTGAAATCTTTAAAAAGTTGATGGATCGCAAATCTGACCGACGAAATTTGTTGAAGAAGAAAGTATGACAGAGTTTAAGTTCTATGATCCAACTGGAAAGTACCAAAGGAGAGATACAAGCTTAAAAAGATAAGTACTATGAGATTGGATTAACCAAAATAAATTCTAATGTAAGGAATAAAACAAATTCATGAAGTCTGACTTAATGAAAACTTACCTGTGATTTCTCTGCTTTGTAAAATATTTGTTTAGAATTGCTAATCATTGGTCTCGGTAACCATTTAACCATAGCAGTGGCTTGTAGAACAAATGTGTATAGAAATATAAAGCACCAACAAATCAGCAATATTCCAAGAAAACAAATAGCAATTATTCCAATGATCCATATAAAATCATCTTCCTTTTCATAAGCGCCTATATCGTAAACTGGTGAAATAATGAATTTCGAGAAGGGAAGTTTATGTGGTGTTTTTATTATGGCAAAACATTTTTGACAAATTACTTAATCGATTAACTGACTGTACACAAAAATACCATCACTTATTTCAGCAAACATTTAGTTCCAGTATAGCAGATAATTTGTTTGAACACTATTTGTGTTACAACGTCTCATCTACTTAAGCGTGTTTGAGCATTAAGAATTACTAAACGTATTTTGTATTCTGTTTTGATACGATTCTTCATTAGTCCATCGTTTCCATTAGTTTTGCCAAAGATCTTAATTTTTTTAGCAAAGTCATCATATTGATTATGCAAACTAGTGAACTTATGTGTTTTGTAAATGCCCTCACTAGATAAGATTTTTACTGTTGCTATTCTGCCGTTCTGTTAGCAACCATTGCTTTATTGCCTGTAGTTTTCCGTACTACATCTTTACCCTGTTGCTCATATATATATATATATATATATATATATATATATATATATATATATATATATATATATATATATATATATATATATATATATATCACATAAGCTTTCGTAAACCAACTGGTTGGTGAAAAAGGGTGTTTCTATAAATTTATGTTTCTTATTTGAACAAAAGCCACTAATTTAGCGATCACTTTTCGTTTGTCAGTCAAATGTACGTTAATTAAAGCAGTGTGATTACCCATGATCATTTTCAAGAGTTATTATCAAAGATAGTAGAGGTTACATTGGCAAAATATTTACAGATAAATTGCTGGTTAAGAAAACGTAATTCTCTGGCTGTTCTTTACAAAATAATATTTAATTTGATACCGACGGTAGTCAAAGTCATAGATGAGCAAATACCGTTGTTGATAATGATTCTTCGTACTAATACAAATAAAGATGAAACGTATGTACTCAAGGCATTATTAAAATACTCTAAGATAGCCATCATGTACTTAAAATCAGCTACTTAATGATATGTTACCATCTCGCTGATACAGAGATGAACATAGTTCTATTTATAATGAATATCAAAATTTAATTCTTTTTGAATATATTTGCATTACAGAGAACAAATATAGCTAATTAGTTTCTGTTAACTTTATTTCGAAAAACACCTATTTATCTTCGAAATGTTGCTTACTATAACCGTTGAGTTGTATGATAAGAACAGGATGGTCGCATAAGAACTTCGTGGTTAGTGCAGCAGGCGTTAATGACTTGGATCCGAAAGCCTGTTAAGTCTTTGACCGAAAATGTAGCAGTTGGGCGTATTAAAATATGTAGCTAATATATGTCGATGAAAGTAAAAGCCTTGTAAGTTGAGGATTATGTGTTAAATGACTTGATTCACGAAATCAAATGTACACACAGCTCCTAGATTGACTAAACTTAGGGGAACAAGTAAGTAATTCAAAAGCTGTTATGACTTGTTGAAGACATGTATTCATAAAAAGTGATTGCGTACTCTCCGGAGAACCGTAATAAATGTTTGTTAGATCGCACAATATATTGTGAGAAACCGAATAAATAAAAGGCACCTTTAGGTCTTTCTATGACTGGCATTCCCAAGTAAACTGCTAACCAGTCCACCGGCATTTGATTGAGCTGGTAAACAATAGAAGGAGAAGGTTGGAAGAGGTTATTCTGCTGTACGTAGAAAAATATCTTCAAATATGATCGAGATTCGTCTCTCTCTATGTAATCAACCTTTGAAAATTCAGAAAGATAAGCATAAAAATAGAAAAATAAGAATTAAGTCTGTGTAGTTGATATATCCTGTTCACTCATTGCCAGTTACTTACAAGAACATGGTGCTCATGAGTACGGAGGATACCAAGCTGTCATATTAAAAATGTAAATTATTATATAACTCACTAGTAAACCTCGTAGTCAGTTTTTAAAACACTGATATTAACATGCACTTATTAGGAAGTTCAAATTAATTTGTAATAAATATGATACATCTGCTGGAAAAGTGGTCGTAATGGGATGGAGATATTCTGATTAACTTTTTCATTATAGAAAAGCTTATGGAATCTTTAATATATATACTTTTGAGAACTTAGTATAGTTGTCGGTCAATGGATAACAAATTTTATTCCTCTTTTCGTTTATTTACTTGATCATTTTTCTGCGTAACCCTTACGAGTTTGTCTGGATAAGCAAAGAAATACTCATCTGGTATTGGTTAACTTATTAGAGACGACCTATTCATATTTGCATATGAGGAATTTACACCCACTGAAATTTATAACCCTAACTAATACACAAATACCTCCGAAAATACATGTTTTAAGTCTTAAAGTAGCAGTCGTCGTTTGGCGACAAAATTCAATGTGTAGAGATTGATGTAGTACTTGGGAGATTAGAAAGCCTTATGAAACGTGTAAGATTAATGTCAGTTCCATGACACACTACAGTAATTTCAAAATGCACTGTTGTTAGTGTCTTATTGGAAGAAATAATTTATCTATGAAATCTAAAACATCGAAATATTTATATTTAAAACACTAGTTACTAGCACTTCGAAGTGCTAGTAACTAGTTGATCTGCCATACTACCGCTTAACCGCTCTATCAATGATTTGAAAGTGAGCAGTTGTAAATGAAAAGTCCTTACTGAATAGTAATTTTTGCATGACAAATCAAGGACCATAAAATCACCTTCAATTGCTTCCAGTTCATAATTAAAGTTTTATGAAAATAACCCTGACCAACTTTAATCAGTTCTTATTTCACACAACAGACAACCATTTTAACGGCCTGCTGATTTACCAATGAAAACTATTTGAAGTCCAATGTTGAAAAGCAAAGCTGTACACAGAAATTATATCATCTATGAATGCAAGTATATAATACTTTAAAAAATCCAGAAGATCTATCAGTTAACTTACCACGACAGACCTGTTTTCAGCTTCAACCAGATTGAAGTATTCCGAATACGATATTTTGGTACTTTTAAGTGCTTCAGAAATCTTAGACTCCCATGCTGTTTTGTTCATCAAAGATTCATTTTTGTGAGGAGGCTTAGTGGACAAAACTACAAGCATTTTTGACTAAACTATAAAGTACCTAAAACAATCCAGAAGACAGACAGACGAGAAGGCTCGGCCGAATAACTCATTAATGGTCCGAACGATAGTAAACATAAAAATACTAACTTATTCATATTCCCTCCTACTCTATGCGGACTGATTATAAGTTAAACACACGATGTAAACAAAACATGAATTAATAGGAAGGACGGAAAACAAAGAATCATCAACTGAATTTTTTTATGATTTTCTATCTGGAAAAATTTGTTTACAGTAAGCTGAAAATTTACAGAGGACAGTCTATCGGGTTGGTGATCTACAGGGTTATAATTATTCATATTATGGGTATATTGAGCTAATGTAAAGCATCTGACCACTTCTCTACATTGTCTGTGTGGTAAGAAGCAGTTTCAGATCTTTAATAGTCATCACGCACTCTCTTTTTAGAAAATAAAGTTTAACATTTAGCTTGTACTGTGTATCTTACTTAATACAATATTCGATGTCTTTGTGACAAGCTTGTGTAAACGGATTGATTTACATGCACTTACTTCTCATTACTTCAGTACGGTTCCATATCTCTGCCAACGCTCAACTGTAGGTAGTCTAGGCACTGGACTACACTGATTCTTGTCATTTTGGTTGCAAATTGCGGGTTTGTATACCTTGTATCGATAAATAAATCCCCGAAATAAATAATTCTGTAAGCCTTCAATATTGATAACGACCTCATTCAAGTGAGTTATTTTGACTTGGTGCTCGAATGTTCCTGAATTCCATCAGCTATCACATTAGCAAGCTGTAAGTCAGTTGGTTGCAAAGTGAATGGTATTGAAGAGAAAATTGGAATACTAGGAAAAGGCGGATGTTTCTAATTATAAATAGATAGTTTAAACAGTGTGAGAAGACCAAACTGTAGGACTCAGTGAGGAGATGAAGATAATATTATTCGAGATCCGCAGTGGTTGCTGATTTACGGAAATAATAACTGTGGTTATTTGTGAGACATGCATCAAACGCAGCTAGTCTAAGGGGAGATTCATGGGTGAATATGTGTTTGTCAAATAGTCTATTGAAGCTGTCTACTGGGAAGGCTGTTATGGCTTGGGCCGAGAGATTATGACATGTGAAGGCAGCTTTTATAGATAAAAATTGAGAGAGTACCCAGGTTTTTGTTATTTGACGTGCCATTTTCGGGAGGTTGCTTCAACGAGCGTGGTGATGAAATTCTGATTAAATACTCGTGTTTATGTTTATGTGATTATCAAATCATTTCTTATTTACACTAAGAATAATTCGGAGCATTGGATTCTATCTTCGTATGACTTCTCTAGCACCATCACCCATTTAGATGTCTTCCTCTGTACTTTGTCGAGTAGATTTACGTCTCTTTTGGAGAGAGAGAGAGAGTGGTTGTGAACTTCAAGGTGAATTTGAATATTCGATTTAACAAGTTTGATATAAAATGTGGGTGATTGCTCCAAGCGGTCTTCGCATGAAGTGAACAGTTGTATTAGCCCTTACTGTATCTCCAGGGTGGTTCAACCTGTAATCCAAGCTCTTTGTGGTTACCAATACGAGATGGAGCTCTGAGGAGACGATTGGGAGCAAATTTCTGTCTCCCAGCTATTCCTATTGCTTAGTAATCTTGGACACTAATTCACTCAACAAGTCCTCAAATCAGAACACAGTTGAACAGGGAAGAGATTGTATTCCAAATAGCAAGGTTAGATGGAAGTAAGAAGCACAGTAGGAAAAACGTTCGTATATTTATAGTTTTTGCTTGAGGAGATTGTAGAGTTCTCGAAGTATCGACTGGCGCTGATCGGATAAGAAATAACCATTCAGCGTGCGCCAAAGTAATCGTGTATTGAGCATGCTTTAATCCAATCTATGACCTGCTAACAACTTCCACGGAGGATTTTTGTCCCATGACGGAGAGTGCTCTTGACATGAGGTTTCGGCTGATTAATTCTCGACCAGTCAACTGCTTTCCATTCTTCCATTGTTGTAAGGTCCTTTAGAATCACAATGGAATTCTCTTCCGACTTTGTAAACCTCTAGTTCTTTTCACCGTATGATCATATCAGTGCTGCCGTGCTTAATGTAACTAAACGGCAGTTAATAAGCATTAGACAGGGTTGACATACTATTGTTATTTTTGAAGCTACTGATTCTGTGATATTCCAACTCGAGTGCGTATGATTCTTTGAATTATTTAAACTATTATACGAACTGGTAATTCCCTAAATAATTCAACATAAGTCATGTAGAGGTAGGTGGGCAGCAACGGAATTATTGTATTTGGAGTTCAAAATCAAGCATGCGTGTAGTACAAAAGAATCATTATTTTATACAAGTACCACAGTGCACTCTATTTTCCTTGTTGCCAAACAACTTGTACTTGAGGTAGTTATGGTTCGATCAGTGAAGTTGGTTTGTGATACTCGACTTCGTGAGGAACTGTATCGAAGGCTTTTTAAGCCATGGAATATAGCATAGATTGGTATCTTTAAGTCAAACCGTTCACTGGGCTGTTCCTTGCCTTGGGAAGATTAGACCCTCAGGAAATTCTTTTTCTAGACACGTATAAGGCATCATGTTGCTCTAATCTGTGCATTACTCCATCTATTTACTGACCAGTTCTCCTATTATCTTCATTGTTAGTGGGAGTATTGCAAATATTCTGTGGTAGGCTGTAATGTTCCTATCTCCTCCTTTGAACATCCGAGGGAGAGCAGTATATTTATATTCTCTTGCGAGTTTATTTGACACTATTGAATGCCTGAGTTGTTTACATACTGGTGAACTAATGAAATCCGAGCACTGTTCCAAGATTTTAGGGCGTATGTTTTCACATTCTTGTAGCTTTCCTTAATGTGAAGATTTTCGATTTCTTGGTGCCAATCCGAAAGTCGGTTAAATATTCTTAGGGCTCTCAGCTGGTGCTGAAGCTGAGGGGTGGTACGTGTTTTTAGGTTCTTGGTTTAAGATATCTATGAAGTTGATATTAAAGATTTCTGCTATCTTTAGGTTGGCAAGATTTCCGTTATCTAATGCAGATCTCCTGATTTGTAAAATTTTTAGATCATGAATCTGTAGAAACATTTAGAGTTTACTTGCATTTTGGTTACTTGTTTGACTTAAATTATGTCGTGTTTCTCCGAACATTGGCGTTGCATTTGCTTATCAATATCTAGTAAAAACCACGGTTTAAATCCTAAGAGGAGGCTTTCCATCTGTGCCGGACTATAGTTTTGCTCTGTAGCAGGCGTTCTATGTTTCGCCTAACCAAGGGTCTTTTCTTTCCAGCTGTGTTCCTTGCCTGTAGTACATTGCGTTAGATAGCATTCGGAAAGATAGACCTTACTACCGGTAGCGACCGAACAACCAATATTCGGATGGAACAACGGACTGACGAACCCAAAATTTATTCGATTAGACCAGATCACGTTCCTCTGTATAGCTCACAACGCGTTTTTGAGGTACTCGTATTATATTATATCAAAACACAAACTCTGTGCTCAATATAAACGGTTCTAACTAAGAAAACAGAACAAATTACATCAAAAATACTAAATACCTCAAACGGTACAGCCTGTGCTATACAGTCAGAAGTTTCTCTAACGCAAAGTGGTGCACTAAACAATGAAAGAGACAGTTAATACTAAAGGGTTTGATACCTGAGAATCAATACAAATATTCCCAACAAGAGGGGATCAAATATCTATCTGCAGGGATACCAGCAATCCTCCCAAGCAGACAGTCAGAAGGTTCACAATCACACACTGAACCACGCCGTGACCTTGACCTTAGTCAAACACGACCTTACTGTCAATGGTCCGGCAATATGCAATAGAAAAATAGGTAACAAAAGATATGTCTTTAATCAAAATCACATAACAAAGGCTTAAACGAGGAAGACTGAAGAACAACTTCTAATAGCTGTGGCAAGTCGCCTATGGAACTACTCTGTAGGGGTTGTACCACGTTCACTGTGTCTTGAGGATAGAGTTCTGTAGTCTTTATCCAGAAATGTCTGGTCAAGACTCAGATGTGGTAGCTTTAGTATCACCTGGATTACTTTATCTTCCTGGGTGTTATCACCTGTGAGGCCAGTTTATTCCTTCAATCAAGTACTTTGTGATGTTCACGTCAAAACAAAACAAGGACTGTTCTGTCAACTCGGTTAACTTAGTAACGTGTGTTTTTACAGCGTTGATGTGACTACTAACGTTTATACACGTAAGTTAGTATTTTAGCTTGGAGACGAGAAACCACTATAATTCTCACGACACGAAGTAAGAACACGAAAGATTGATGCAAGAGAAGATTTGCTTACTCTCAAACGCGACGAACCCAGTAGAAAATATATTCATTATATATTGATTGTTTACCCATTTTGACTGCTATTTGGAAAATCACATATGTAAAAAAGAAATACTCGGAACTACAACAAATCACATGTTGCATGTCATGCTGAACTACAATTCACGTTAATTTAATACAAGAATAACGTGTTTCCAAAAAAAACCCATTGTAAAATAAGTAAATATAATATTACGTAAAATGTCACACCGAAAATAAAACAAGCTTTACACTGAGTAATATTAATACTCAATTATAACCAGAAGTAATGTTGGCCAAAAATCACAATGAATGAAAATATGATTTTGCCTATTTATTCCGTCATATCATTATTATATATTCCATGATAGTTAGCTAGTGAAAAATGTTTAACTTAAATTACATATGTAAGGAATTAAAATTAGAATTTGTTTCAATTTATGTTAACATCATTTTTCCTACTCTAGTTTGCATAAATTAAAATTATGTTAAATATCCTTTCTACACTGCGAAACGATGTTATTCTGTAGAGTTTTTTCTTCTCCAAAGTCATAATAATATCTTCGGAACAAGCAAACTTTTAACTATATATTTTTTCTAGGTGATTAGTTAAATCAGATTTCATTTTATTACCAGCTTTAGTTTGTATATATTTATCTAGCTAACAGCATAATGAGCTGTAGTATCATTTACATAAGATTTTTTTTTAAATAGTGCTTACAACAAAATGTTATACACATAAAACTGTCTTAGAAACTGCTTGGAATAATCAACTGAGAAGTTAATGGATGCTAGTTTCTATGTTGAACTAGTGACTA